AAACAGTGGCTCCAGACAGGCAAAACGATTGATTGGTAAGTCGTGAAGTTCCTCTGTTTTGCTAACAGTCGGAGGGAGTGCGATGCTTTTAGCGTTTCTCTCCAGAAGAAGAAAGCAGACCACAAGATCAGACTGGCCGCTAGGACCCCATCTATGGTCACAGAAACTGTGGGAATTATTCCAGCTGCCGGCTGCATTGTTTGGTACGAATGTGCGATTCTTTAAAACGGAATTTGGTCGAAAAGTAATCACTTCGTTTCTATGAGATAGTTTGGTGTGGTTTACGAAACAGGCTACTTTTTGGGTGAACCGTATTGTTTTGTCATTACTAAATTCGCAAATGAATGGGCATGCCTTTAGTCAGCAATTGCCCAATGCAAGTTGAGTATCTCGGTCGGATGACCGAGAGTGTCAGTAAAGACGCATTTATGAGTGATCTGCACTGTGGGTTTTGACAGTTTGATAAATAAGAGTTTCTAGCAGTAAAAAGATCTTGGAACGAATGAAATGGAGGCATAGCAGTGTTATCTGCTCAGCTGCATGTCCGTTACAAAACTGGCTGAAGGATAGAAGGGGCTAATAGGGAAATGAAGAGGGCGAAGATGTCAGTTTGAAAGCGAAATCGAAAGCTACCAATTTTCTGATCAGCCAAAAGAAAATTGAAACATCCAGCAAAGTTTTTGAAGAAAAAATACGATTTTAGCAGTACTTGCAGCGGAGTTTCGAAACAAAGTAGGTGACTTGCAGCTCTAGATGTAATTTATGCTTAGGTTGAAGGACGATTATAACCAGTCGATGGCGGCCATGGAAAAGTATCTTTTGCGATATTCAAAACCAAATAATTATGCTTTTATTGGCGAATTGCAAGGCGGTGATACGTTTTCGCCAAAGATGGTATGTTGTTAAAGTGCTCCGACCTTGAGTGTTTGTTTCATTCGCTCCTCAGGCCGAGATAGGCAGTTTCCCTGTTGTACTGTCGCCCCAGCAACGAATCCCTTCGTGCGTTCTTTTTTATTGCCACCTTTAGTTGTTCACAAATAGTTTCACTATCACAGTACGTTACATTAATTTGCAAAGCAAGAGGTAAATGCATGTCATGGTTTTGGTCAAAAAAAGGTGTAGATTCATGGTCGGCGCACGAATTTATAGTGCGCTAAGGAGACGTGAGGAGAGCGAGAAAGGGAGAAGGAAGGGGGCACAGAGCGAGGCTACTAACAGCACTATCAGAGGACTGCTAAGGGCAACGCCGGTAAGAAGATCATTTCATATTTTACACTTTTTTTTTTGAAATGAGAAAATAATCCGCATTGAAATTTCATCTTCAAAGGTTAGCTTTTCAGGATCACTTGGCTTGCTTCATTGCTGGCACTTTGGCGCTGGGAAGTATGAATGGTTTCCCTCCAAGGCATCTGGAACTTGCAAAAGATATCGGAAAAGGATGTCAGAAAATGTACCAGACTAAAACTGGCTTGGGTCCTGAAATCATTCACTTCAATACGGATGCTGGAAATTCGCGGGATATTTCGATCAAAGTGCGTTTGATATTACAGTGCTTTACCAGCTACCAGCGGTTAATAAGTCTGTTAATGGCTCAGTCTCTGTACACTGCTTGAGGAGAAAACTAGAATGGGCTTCGTATTTCAGTGCTAATGTAGCATTGAAATTCTTCGTAGAAGGATCGGTGTTTCGGCAGTGAATTCGAACTGTCGGCCTCACAAGGAACTGATGCCACTGAGCATTGCAGCAGTCCTGAGATTGAGTAAAAACTAGCGAGAGCGGCAATGTTCAACCATTTTATCAACATGTCTTTTCTAATTTGAATTCCTCGAACTGAAAGAAATGATGTAATGAAACCTGAGTTTCTTTTCGTTTTTTTTTTCGCAGTTTTCTGAGATTATTCTTTTTACTAATCTGTATATGCACAGATGAGATTGTGTACGTCTGAAGTCTGAGTGTCTCGTCCTGAAAGTATAAGTAATTTCAGGCTTTAGATGCGCACAGTCTGCTACGGCCAGAAGCCATTGAGGCATGGTTTTATCTTTATCGTGCTACCGGTGATAAAATGTACCAGCATTGGGGATGGGAAGCATTCAGTGCTATCGAAACCTATGCAAAACTTGACGTTGGTTACTCCTCTGTGAATAATGTGAAGCGATATCCTGTAACACATCGGTGAGTTAGAATTTTCATCGTTACAAGTTCCTAGTCAGTCTGTTCCGTAAGGCACTGCATTTGTTATCTCATAAATGTTTTCTGCTGTCCACTCCTGCGGGAAAAGTTTATTTTATGTGAAGACTTACAGTTTGCTTTTCCCATCATCAGCCTTCGTCAGAATTGCTTTCTATGCATCCTCGAATTTTTTAGTGTTTGGTTTGGCAGAAATGCCTTCCATACATTTCTAATGCATGACGACCATAGAAGTACCGTGAAGAGATGAAACAAAAATATGAGGCACCGGTTTCGTGCGGAGAGAGTGAAAGTGTACTGAACGTTTTACTGCTGATGGACTTAGTGCAGTAGATCAGGGTCCTTAAGAGTGTTTGCGAAAATAAGAAGGGTTTCAGCTAAACAAGTAACATTGGAATTTCACGTTTACGTCGAAGGGGTCTTGTAATTTCGTTTTTCCATGCAAACTGTATAAAAGAAGAGATGAAATACTGTTGGGACATTTCCTGGCTCGAATGTTACTAGGGGCGAGAACATCTTTTCTTCGTACTGTGCCCTTTTTGTTTTTCCAGAGATATGATGGAATCGTTCTTTTTGGCGGAAACGCTCAAATACCTGTACCTCTTGTTCGATGACGACAAAACGGACATTCCGCTCGACAAATATGTGTTCAATACGGAAGGCCATCCTTTGCCAATTTACGATCACTGAGAAACGTGTGTTTTTGTGCGTGTATCTTCCTCCGCTGTTTCTTCCTTTTTTTGATAATTGAGAATTCTCATGGCTTCGATGAATCACCATTTATTGTACTGCTGCATTTTGTG